ATCACGCGTTGTCGAGCCAATCCTGGCATCGCTCGAAGAGTTTCAAGAACGTGATAGTGAATGGGCACTGTCGCGTATATTGAACTTGACTGTTAACGCGAATAAACTGAATTCTCTGCGCGCGGGATGTCATATCAAACTGCCGCATGAAATTATGTTAAAGAGAGCGGTGGTCAACGTGCAATCCAAAGACAATGCTTGTTTCGCATGGTCGGTGGTTGCAGCTCTATATCCCGCAAGAAAAAAAGTGGAACGAAGATCTTCGTATCCGCACTACTTATCAGTACTTGTAGTTTACGTTTCTTAGCTTTAATAACTTGTACTCAAGGATTCAGTTGTAATTAATGAAGGTTTATTAATTAGTCTCCATAATCAACAAAACAAAGTTAGTAGCAAGAAGACAAACAAGAAAGAACTAAAAGGAGAACGCAATTTTAATCTAATATCTAACTTCATACAACTTAAACGCCTAAACTTCCTATAGCTTGATATACACCTATAGATCACTTATTCCAACATTCCCTCACTTAAACTATAGGTGTATAAAATATAATATTTATGTGATCATATGATAATGTTTTACTATCCTATTTCAACTCGCATTTATAATATTATTTGTCAAATTCATACTTTGATTACAAAATTTGTTCTTTTTGCAAGTTACTGGTTTAGTTAATGCATCCGCAATCATCTCTTTAGTATTAATATATTTTAAATTTATTATCTTATTAGCAACTTTTTCTTTTATAAACTTATATCTTGTGTCAATATGTCGCGATCGCGCATGATAATTATTAGAACGCACAAGTTTTATTGCACTTTGATTATCAGAATAAAGATCAATTGGTTCTGTTACATTAAAATTATCTATATCCTTTAACAGTTCTCTTAACCATAACAATTCTTGACTGGCTAAAGTTATCGCTATGTACTCTGATTCAGTAGTTGAAAGTGAAACACTTTGTTGCTTCTTTGAACACCATGATACTGTATTATTTCCTAACATAAAAATATAACCGCTAGTAGAACGACGACTATCAATATCACCTGCCCAATTAGCGTCACTATAACCAATAAGTTTCGAGCCTTTGGTCCCTTTAAATTTTAGTTTTAAATCCTTTGTACCTTTAATGTAACGTAAAACTCGCTTTAACGCCATCCAATGTGATTTCCCTGGATTCTCAGAAAAAGAACTTAAGGTTGTGATCGCACAACCTAGATCTGGTCGTGTTCCTTGAAAAGAGTACATTAGGCTTCCAAGAATTTCTCTATAAGGAATGTTTTTCTGTACATCCTCTTCTTCGGTGATCTCCTTTGTCAGTTTTAAATTTGTGTCGAGTGGAGTTTTAACTGGATTACAATCTTCCATTTGAAAACGTTTTAAGATACTTTCTAAATATTCCTTCTGATCAAAAGTTATTTCTTTCTTCTCTCGATCTCTATAAACATTGATACCAAGAATCCTTGACACTGGACCTAAATTTCTCATTTTGAATTTATCTTCAAGCTTTTCAATAACTTCCTTCTTCAAGTTCTGATCATTTGTAAACAATAAAAGGTCATCAACATAAGTTGTCAGATACATAACTTTTTCACCCTTTTTTAATATGTATAAACTGTTGTCCACTTCTGATCGTTTGAAGCCAATTTCATTTAGAACTTGTTCTAATCTCTTATTTCAGGAATATGCTCCTTGTTTTAATCCATAAAGCGCTTTCTTGAGTTTGCAAACTTTATCTTCTTGATTCTTTTTTATAAATCCTTGTGGTTGTTCCATATATATTTCTTCTTCTAAGTGTCCATTTAAAAAGGCTGTTACAACATCCAAATGTTCTACATCATAGTCTCGGTCTGCGGCTACTGCAAACAAACATCTGAGAGTATTAAATCTTATTACAGGGCAGAAGGTTTCGTTGTAATCTATTCCCTGAATCTGTTCATAACCTTTGACTACTAGTCTCGCCTTGTATTGTGGTGGGCATCCGGTCAAACCTGGTTTTAATTTGTATACCCACTTACTTTTCAAAATTTTTCTTCCTTTTTGCGGTGTACACAATTCCCATGTTTCATTTCTTATCAGTGCATTGAACTCTTCTTTCATAGCTTCGTTCCATTCCTTTTTATGTTTTCCGCTACAAGCTTCTTTAAAAGTTTTAGGTTTCGTTTCTTCATACATTACTGATTCTACAGATGCATTGTAAGTAAAGAAATCTTTCCAACTTTTTGGCTTAGGTAATCGATCGCTCCTACGTAGAATAGAATCTTTTTCTTCTAAAACTTGATTCGTTTCGTCTTGATTATCTGCAATAGTTACATTTTTTGTTAAGTTTTCATTTTCTCTATTTGATCCATCCTCTATTAACTCTTCATTTTCTCTACTTGATCCTTCTGTTTCTTCACCGGCTTCAAATAACTCCAAATTATTCTCAATCTCTTCTGACTCATTAACCCTCACTGAATCTACATTATTCTGCAGAGTAATGGGTATTATTTCGTAAGTTTGATTACCTTCTTTTTCATCTATCGATGCTTTTCTTGAAATGGAAGTCGTCTGCTCTTCATCTTTCATACAGGTCACAGATACTTCATCTTCGTAGAACACTACATCTCTACTTTTAAATATCCTTTTTGTATTTTCATCATACAGTCTGTAGCCTGTTGTATGTTCTAAATATCCGAGAAAAATACATGATTTTGCTTTTTCGTCCCATTTTTTTCGCTGCTCTCTTGGAATATGTGCTAATGCCTTACAACCAAACACTCTTAAATGAGATAAGACTGGCTTTTTTCCTGTCCACTGCTCATGTGGAGTTTTATAATGTAAACTCTTTGCGGGAGACCGATTTATTAAATAAACCGCCGTTGCACACGCTTCAGCCCAAAATTTCTTAGGAAGATGGGCGTCTATCAGCAAACAACGTCCTTTTTCTACTACCGTCCGATTGCAACGCTCTGCCAAACCGTTTTGTTGAGGGGTATAAGGAATTGTTAATTGATGCTGAATTCCTTCTTCTTGAAGAAAATGTCTAAATTCCTCGTTAACAAATTCTCGCTCGTTATCTGAGCGCAAAGCTTTAATACGTAAACCTGTTTGCTTTTCAACATAGGCTTTATATTTTTTAAATACACTTAAGGCTTCACTTTTATTTTTCAAAAAATATATACTTAAATGCCTCGAATAATCATCTATAAAAAGTATGAAATACCTTGAGCCTCCTAACGATGCATGTTCCATCGGCCCACAGATATCAGTATGTATTAGTTCCAAGGATTTTGAAGTTCTTAATTCTTTTCTTGCTTTCGGGAAAGCTTGACGTGCTTGTTTACCTCGGACACAAATCTCACATTGTGGACCGTCTGGATTTTCAAATTTCAGGCCTATTGCATGTTGATCACGTAGCAGTTTCATGCTTCTTCTATTTAAATGTCCCAATCTTCTATGCCATTGTGGATTCTTATTTGTATTAATCATGCAATTAAGTGCAGTATCAACTCGTTGCACCAGTTTGTAAATATTATTCACTGTTTTGGCAATAGCAACTACATGGTTATCTTTAAGCACTTTACAAATATTGTTATCAAATCTAACAACAAAACCTTTTTCAGTTATTTTGCTTACTGATAATAAATTAACACTTAGGTTCGGAACATAAAGCACATTTTCTACAATAATTTCAGTACTCTTACCATATAATAATATTGATAGCGTTACATTGCCTTTACCTTTTGCATGCAGTTTACTATTATCCGCCATCGCGATTTCCATTCCATCAAATTCTATTAAAGAATCAAAAAATTCTCTACTCGGCGTCATGTGTACAGAGGCTCCGGAATCCAGAATCCAATCTGTGTCCTTGCTTTCTTCATAATTACTAAGAAAAGCTCCAGTAAGAAATGCTGTTTTAGTACTACTATTTTCAGTATAATCTTCTTTGTTTTCCTTACCTTCTTTCTTCTTGTCGCTGCACTCGTTCGCCATGTGTCCGTAGCGACAATCTCTTGAAATATGTCCTGACTTCCCACACGTCCAACATTTAACTATCGACTTTTGCCTCATTCGCAAATCTCTTGCATAACGTTTTGCTACATAGGCTGCTGAATTATTATCATTTGAACTTTTCAATTTTTCAAAATTATTTGATTCTTGCAACAGCTTAACCTTAACTGAATCTCCGGTAATCACCATCCCTGAACTTTCTAATGCCATGATCATTGGCTGAAAAAAACTCCGGAAGACCTGCTAATAAAACTGTTCCTAGCCATTCTTGATTTATTTGAAAACCTATACCTGTTAGTTGATGTGCAGTAGACATAATTTCATTGATATACTTCTCCATAGATTCACAGTTTTCTAATTTCGTTGTGATAATTTTCCGCAGTAACCCGACTTTTCGGGTAAGGCCATCATCTTGAAATGCCAATGACAAACTGCTCCACGCATCCTTCGCTGTTTCCGTGTTCGCCACATGTATATACAAAGACTCATCAACACTGAGTATAATTTTTGCTTTTGCCTTTGCAACTTTATCCGCGTCAGTTTGTGTGCCAAGCATCGCCGTCCACAGTCCTTCTATAGTGAGCAGATTTTCCATTGCTATCCTCCAAGTCATATAATTCTCTCTTCCGCGCAGTTTTGCAATAGAAAGAAAAAGATTATTGCTGCTTTCAGCCATTGCAATTAATTTCGCTCTAGTTTATTAATTTGTGATTATTAATCCTCCTCTGGGCCCATAACCCAAATGTAGTTTACGTTTCTTAGCTTTAATAACTTGTACTCAAGGATTCAGTTGTAATTAATGAAGGTTTATTAATTAGTCTCCATAATCAACAAAACAAAGTTAGTAGCAAGAAGACAAACAAAAAAGAACTAAAAGGAGAACGCAATTTTAATCTAATATCTAACTTCATACAACTTAAACGCCTAAACTTCCTATAGCTTGATATACACCTATAGATCACTTATTCCAACAGTACTAAATCTCACGGGTATTGAGTTCCCGATGACGTTGAATCAAATTAAGAAATTTGAAGCTCTAAATGACATATCCGTCAACGTCTACGCCATCGAGAATGGGATTGTGCCGATACGACTCACTGACCGAATGAGGAGCAAGCACGTGAATCTCTTATATGTGGAGGATGACATCGAGGGACATTTCGTGCTGATTAAAGACCTGTCACGCCTTGTCAGTTCACAAATCAGCAAAAAGGAGCGTAAGAAATACTTCTGCGATAGGTATGTACAATAATAATAATAATAATAATAATAATAATAATAATGATAATAATAATAATAATAATAATAATAATAATAATAATAATAATAATAATAATGATAATAATAATAATAATAACAGTAATACTAATAATAATAGTAATAATTTTATTTCCTTTTTTTTCTTTTTTTTCAGATGCCTCCACTACTTTAGCTCGAGCGCTAAATTGGAGATTCACAGCATGGATTGCGGAAAACTAAACGATTGTGCGATAAGGCTACCGAGCGAGGACAAGTGGCTCGAGTTCAAGAACCATTGCAGGAAGGAGCGCGTCCCGTTCGTGGTTTACGCCGATTTGGAGTGCGCACTGGAAAAGATGGATCTTTATCCAACATCATCCACGTACACATACCAACATCACAACGTCTTCAGTATCGGGTATTACGTGTACTGCTCTTATGGCAATTCGCTGTCGGGTTATCGTTTTCACCGCGACAAAGACTGTATATCGTGGTTCGCGGGCGAATTGAAAAATCTAGCGCATGAAGTAAAGAGTATCTTATCCGCTAACGTGGTTATGGATTTCACGCGAGATGATTGGCGAAAATTTAATAGCGCAACGCACTGCCATATCTGCGAGAAACCGTTCATGAAAAATGATAAGCGGGTACGCGATCACTGCCATCTCACCGGACGATACAGAGGTCCAGCGCATTCAAATTGTAATTTAAATTATAAGGATTCGCGTTGCATACCCGTAGTCTTTCACAATTTATCAGGCTACGACGCGCATTTTATCATCAAAGAAATTGCAACCTTGTACGACGGAAATATAGATTTATTACCAATAACTAAAGAAAAATATTTCTCTTTTACTAAACACGTCGACGACACTAAAGATGAAAATGACGAAAAAAATATTTGTGTGACATTACGTTTCATAGATTCATACAGATTTCTCGCTTCTAGTTTAGACAAATTAGCATCTTTTCTCAATAAAGATAAGCTGCGGGTACTGCGACGCGAATTTTCTCATTTATCGGACGAAAATTTTAATCTTTTAACTCGAAAAGGTGTCTTTCCGTACGAGTACATTGATTGCAGTGAAAAATTGAATGAATCATCCTTGCCGCCTCGCGAGTCGTTTTACAGTTCATTGACAGACGACACGGTATCCGAGAGCGACTACGCGCACGCTGTCAACGTGTGGCAGCGGTTCTCCATCCAAACGCTCAGTGAATATAGCGATTTGTATCTAAAAACAGATGTATTGTTGTTAGCCGACGTCTTTGAAAATTTCCGCGACAGTTGCGTCGCGAGTTACGGGCTCGACCCCGCGTACTATTACACCTTACCCGGCTTCACATGGGATGCCATGTTGAAGCACACAGGTGTAAAATTCGAATTACTTACAGACATTGACATGGTCATGTTTGTCGAGCGCGATATACGCGGTGGTCTGAGCCAGTGCTCAAACAGGTACGCGCGAGCCAACAACAAATACATACCTTCGTACGACCCATCGAAACAGTCATCATATTTAATGTACTATGACGTCAACAACCTCTATGGCTGGGCAATGTGTCAACCATTGCCATACGCCGACTTTCGATGGGTCAAAAACGTGCAGAATTTCAACTTTTCGACCATCGCGCTAGATTCACCTACAGGCTATATTCTCGAGGTAGACTTGGAATATCCGCAACATCTCCACGACGCGCACACTGACCTACCGTTCTGTCCGACGCGAGAGAAACCGCCCGGCAAGCGCGATGACAAGCTCCTCGCGACGTTATGCGATAAGCAGCGTTACGTGATTCATTATCGCAATCTGCAGCAGTGTACTCGTCACGGCCTCCGTATCGCAAAGGTTCACCGTATACTGCAATTCACGCAATCTCCATGGCTTCGTGACTATATAGAACTAAATACAAAATTTAGAACATTGGCAAAGAATGATTTTGAGAAGTGTTGGAGTCAGTTAAAATAAGTCTGTTCGTATTTCGCGATTTATGTAACGAAGGTGATTCTCTTATGTTTTCTTTTGATCTTTTGTCTTGGTGTGCTTGCTACTGTTTTTATTCATTCCTAATGTGTACTTCTTCCTGTTCGGATGTCTTAACGGTTTTTGTGTTAAACTAAATAAAATACTTAAAATACACACTTTGATTGATTAATAATCAAGATCCCAACAGGTTATGGGCCCAGATCGCGCATAAAAGTAGTGTGTATTTTTTATTTTTTTTTTTAAATAAACGATACGAGTACTAAAGGAAACAAGATGTCGGAAGATTTCTCGACAAGAAACCTGATTAAGTTCGACGGCAAGAACTATCAGATATGGAAGTTTCAAATGGTTTCAGTGCTTATTGCACATGGAATTTATGAAGTGGTTACTGATGCTCGTGTGAAACCTGATCAGGAAGAAGCGGCTAAAGTATGGATCAAGGACAACGCCAAAGCAACTTTTCTCATTTCAACGGCGATAGACTATACTCAGTTAGAGTATTTGGTTACATGTCAGACGGCACATGATATGTGGAGAAAACTAAGCAGCATTCATGAGAGGACCTCAGAGTCGAACAAATTACTTTTATTTCAGAAATTTCATGAATACAAAATGGCCGCAAATGATTCCGTTGTACAGCACGTTGCTAAGATACAAAACATGGCCAGGCAGCTTACTGATGTTGGTGAAGTAATTTCTGAAACGGCGGTAATGGCAAAAATTCTGGGAAGTCTACCAGCGAAGTTTGGGGCACTTATAACAGCTTGGGATAGTGTTGAACCTGTCTCACAGACGATTCAGAAGCTTCAAGAGCGATTAATTAAAGAAGAAACAAGATTAGCTCAGGATGAAGAAGCTGAAACTGCGTTAGTAAATAAACTATAGTAAATAAAAAGAAAAGCAATACTTTTGCGGACAAGAAGGTCGATTCAAAAACGCGCGGGAATTTTTCTAGTACAGGAAAGGAAATGAGAGCAAGAGAAACGAGAGATTGTTTTTATTGTAAAAAGAAAGGACACATAAAGAAGTTCTGCAGAAAATGGATCAAAGATGGAAAACCTGGGCATAGCGATGTAAACAAAGAAAATGAAGAAAGTGCATGTGCTTTTGTAACCGCAGTCTCAGAAGATAACAAGATGGAGAAACAAAAGAATAGTCCAATAGATGGCGAACAGATTAGTTACCTCCTAAATCAGAAGATAGGAGATGTATGGTTGACCGATAGTGGCGCTTCTAGACATATAACCTTTCGGAAGGATTGGTTAATAAATTATCGATCGAGTCATAATGAAACAGTGTGTTTAGGTGACAACGGCGTATGTGATGCTAAAGGAACCGGAAGTGTTATGATCGAAAAGTTTGTAAACTGCAAATGGATGCGCAGCGTAGTCGAAGATGTACTTTATGTGCCAAGCCTTCGAAAGAATCTTTTTTCCGTAGGTGTTTGCACATCAAAAGGCTACGAAGTGAAATTCAAGGAACATAATGTAACAATACTTGCAAACAGTAAAGTGGTGGCACTAGGTAAAAAGCAAGACAATAACATTTATCGTATGTTCTTTCGAACACTAAAATCATCACAAACTGACTCTAGTGAACTCAATCTATTAGTCGCGGACTTAAAAACGTGGCATGAGCGTTTAGGACATGTGAATCAAGAATCTATACGTCAGATGGCTGAAAAGGATTGTGTGCGAGGACTTAAACTTAAAGATAAAAACTACTCTTTTTGTGAAACGTGTCAGTTCGGCAAATCGCATAAGCTATCCTTTGCGAAACGTGATTCGTCGGAAAGCTCCTGGAAGAAAGGCGAATTTTTCCATAGTGACGTGTGCGGTCCTTTTTCAGAAACGTCATTAGGAGGCGCGAAATATTTTCTCACGTTTAAAGATGATTTTTCCGGATACCGCGTAGTGTATTTTATTAAGCACAAATCCGATGTCTTTGAATGCTTAAAGACGTTTGACAGGCTGATAAGAAATCAGTGTGGACATTCAATTAAAGTACTAAAAGTAGATAATGGTAGAGAATACTTGAACAGTGACATTAAGAATTATCTTAGTGCTCGTGGAATTCAAATGCAGTGCACAGCCCCGTATTCACCGCAACAGAACGGAAGGATGGAACGAGATAACAGAACCATAGTGGAAAGCGCGCGTTCAATGTTGATTGCGTCCAGTCTTCCCAAAGTGCTCTGGGCAGAGGCAATTAACACAGCTGTCTATACGTTGAACCGGATGACCTCGAAGCAAACGTCTGGATCTACTCCTTACGAGTTGTGGTTCGGAAAGAAGCCAAGCTTAGCGCATGTACGAAAATTTGGAGCGGATGCCTATGTACATGTACCCAAACAATTCAGAAATAAGTTGGAATCAAAAGCTAAGAGGTTGGTTTTAGTAGGTTATCAAGGTGAGTCTGAAAATTATCGTCTCTATGATCCTCAAACTAAGCGTATCTCAGTTGCTAGAGATGTAACGTTTAATGAAACTAAAACTTGCGAAAACTCCAAGAATTTGACAAAAGCCCTTATTAAGCTGCCCATTCAGATATGCGATCATAGGGAAGAAGAGGAAGACAGGCAAGAAGTTCAAGGTATTCCGGAAGAGACACCCGGTAATTCACAAAATGAATTGTCGGAGGATGAATACCTTTCACTAGAGGAAGAACTATTTGCAGATGAACCACGTCAGATGATGGAGATACAAGAATCACCACAGTCACGACAACTAAGAGATCGAACTCAAATTAAGCGGCCGATCAGGTATGAAGCAAATTTGACTGAATATAATGAGCCACTTACTTACAGTGAAGCCATATCTGGATCAGAGGCCAGGAATTGGATAGATGCCATTAATCAAGAATTGGATGCTCATAAGAAGAATGGTACATGGAAGATTGTTCCAAAAGAAGAAAAACAAGATTTGATCGATTCAAAGTGGATATTTCGAATTATACGGATGTCAACAGGACAGATACGTCGTTACAAGGCAAGACTTGTTGCACGAGGATTCATGCAGAAACAAGGGAGAGATTATTCAGAGACTTTCTCACCTGTAATTAGATTTGATTCTTTGCGAGTTTTCTTAGCGATGGTTGCAGACAGAAATTTAGAGTTAGCTCAATTCGATGTGAAAACTGCGTTTTTGTATGGAAAGTTACCGGAACGTGTATACATGAAAGTACCAGAAGGAATTTATTTAGAAGATAAAAATAGAGTTGTTGTATGTGAGCTAAAAAAGGCCTTGTACGAGGCTTGATTAAAGCAAGCGTCTCGATGTTGGAATCAAGAATTTGTCTCGTTTTTAAAAAGGTTTAACTTTGTAGAAAGTCAAGCAGACAAATGTATTTTTCACGGTAAAGTTGATAATGATGATGTTTATCTTGCCCTATATGTCGATGACGAGTTAATAGCTGCGAAAACGAAAAAGTCTATCAGTAAAGTTTTAAATGCACTCAAGAAAAGTTTTGAAATTACTATTGACAATGCCGAGATGTTTGTTGGAATTCAGATTTATCGTGATCGTTGTAAGAAAACTTTGTTTTTGCATCAACATAATTACATCAATAGAATTCTAAATAAGTTTGGTATGATGGATTGCAAACCAGTAGCAGTTCCAGTAGATCCACATATGGTATTAAAGCCTGCAGTTAAAGTTGATACATTAGATAACAATGTACCATACAGAGAGGTAGTGGGTTCTCTGATGTTTTTAGCGGCAGCTACTAGGCCGGATATTGCGTTTGCTGTTAGTTATGTAAGTAGATTCTTAAATTGTTATGATAATAGTCATTGGCAAGCAGTAAAGCGAATATTTAGGTATTTGAAAGGCACAACTGATGTAGGAATTTTGTATGCAAATAACAAAAAGGATACTCCGCTACTAGGTTATTCAGATGCTGACTTTGCAAATGATTTATCAACCAAAAGATCAACAACCGGAGTTGTATTTATATTTGTGAATGGACCAATAACCTGGTTTTCTCAAAGGCAAAGTCTCGTGACTCTTAGTACTACCGAGTCTGAATATGTTGCGGCAGCCACAGCAGCCAGAGAAGCTGTATGGCTAAGAAACTTACTTAATGATCTAGGCTATTGTGCTCAAAGGACAACTGATATTCATGTGGACAATCAAAGTAGTATTCGTTTAGCAAAAAATCCGGAATTTCATAAACGAACTAAGCATATAGACTTGCGATTTCATTTTATAAGAGAGAAAATAGTAGATAAAACTGTAAATGTTAAATTTGTCCCCACTGAATCTCAGTTAGCTGATGTTTTTACAAAAGCGATTCCAAAAATGCGTTTTTGGTCAATTTGTGAGCGGCTTAACATAACACATAATCCAGCGAAACACACAGACAGGGAGAGTGTTGGAGTCAGTTAAAATAAGTCTGTTCGTATTTCGCGATTTATGTAACGAAGGTGATTCTCTTATGTTTTCTTTTGATCTTTTGTCTTGGTGTGCTTGCTACTGTTTTTATTCATTCCTAATGTGTACTTCTTCCTGTTCGGATGTCTTAACGGTTTTTGTGTTAAACTAAATAATAGAGTGTATAGGCCAGTTCAAAGCCATGGTCCTCTGAGGGGGGGGGGGGGGGGG